TTTGTTTCCGTCTCGCAGCAAAGGTTTCGACACTTGCTTATGTAGGAGGTTAGCTCTCTCACTGGCTTTTCCCAGCTCAGTCGGCCATAGCACTATTCTCTTAGTACCCTCGTGTCGTCTTTCTGTCTAGATCCCCCGAACATTTTTACTCCGCGCTTGAGTCCTATCTTTCCGCTGCTTTACCACCAATTGACCTTTGAATCTCTCTCGTCGCAAGCTATTTATATCTCTACTTACTTATTCTGCGCTCCCTATCGAAGTAGGCTGGCTACCAGCTGTTCATCCACCATTCAATCGCCGCCGGTCTTTGAACTCTGCTTTCTGTCTTCCCACGCAATAGTTGCATCATAGTAAACCGATACTGCGTGGTTTGTTTAATGGCACAACGCTCTGGATTCCACGTAAATGGTAGCAATCTACCTATACGGCCATTGCTTTTCGTAGAACGTTCAAAAGACACTTTCAACACAATCATTGTTGCACATTGTACATCATTTTGTCTTCCCTCTAAACCCCATAACATGGGACGTTAACAACGTTTCCATGCCTGTTATTTGCGGTCTTGGTTGTCCCTCACTTTCCCTTTTCTCCGAGATCCGGAACTCCTTGAGGATCTGGGACTGGACTGAAAAACAGAGTTTTTGCCCGGGACAGGATATAATAACCCACAGAGACCTACAAAGAATGTGGCTGTACACTAAATGGATACAATTGTACTCACCACTACGACCTTTGTGCAGTAATGATAGCTGGACAGGATGCCTTAACATTCCTGAGAAGTATACATAACCTGAAAAATCCAGGCACAAAATACTGACATTTAGTTCACCTGGATACGCACAAAGACTACTCTTCGTGAATCTTCCATCCTTGATTGGCCTCAGCGATTATGGCGGCCCTGACCAAGACATCTGCTCAACAAACAGAGGAGATTAGAATTCATTCGATTGTGGATAACCAAATGTGAGATCAGTCGGCATGCTGCTCTACCAGTTGTATAATAGTGTACAAACGGATTTCTGCCAGTGTTCCAGGACGTGGTGGGTTCTCGCCTGGCAAACGTTCTCCCTATAAAATGCCACAAAGTTCCGTTTAACAACACTGCGACGTGGCGGATGTGACGCGCCACTGAATACATTCACTGACTACAACTATATATTGCAAGTCGACTAGAAGCATAATTCAAAATTTTCTTGACACCTCCAAGCATAAGATACTCCCTGCCTACACGCAGCTGTTTCACTACACATATAGTGCCCTGCCTGTTTGCACTACGCACGCTTGAACCCAACGTATCGTCATTCATTGACGAATTTATTCCTCATGATTACTTTTACAATTTCCGCAGCCTGTACGACCTCCGGTTTACTGCCGATTACATACATAGCAACGTGTTTGTTGCGAAACTTAATTGCATGTAAATGTTGATCATGCCTGGTTTGGTGTGCCTCGATAAATTCGAGAATAAACTACTTATTTATTTATTTAGTTACTTCACCTCTATCGGGAGACGCGCATACAATCCAACCGTTGCGTTTACGTGAACTGCAAGTTCAAAACCACCCAGCAAACTTATTTGACCCTGGCTCCTCACCCCAACCCAATCGAAGTTCAAAACCTTACTCTCGTCCTAATGATTGGGTATCGCTTCCTTGGACAGAGAAACACAGGCCCACGTAGTGTATCGGCCACCAACACTGTACCAGGTAGGATCAGAAGCGTCCCACTTGCACCCCTATGACTTATGGTGCGCACACAGTGCGCCTGAGGCCCTATTGGCCGTAGGCGATGGGGTATACAGACAGCTACACACCTGCGCAAGTGAACGTCACACGTAAGGCTCAAAGTAGTTGAGTACAGACTGTCCTTGTTTGACCCTCAGATCAACTCCTATGCCGTTCAGCTTAATTTGCTGGCCCAAGAGGTCAAGTTGACCGATAATGTTATAGTTGACTATTTTTCCGGATAACGCGTGTGAACGCGGCTGACCGAGCGAACATCACCCAGACGAGGATAGTATATGAAGCCCCTTACTGATTGCGTTATACGTAGGAAAACGGGATCACCAAGAGCTCCTAAACACCATTCTCATTTTGGCACCTTGCCCTTCCGCTCAATCGCAGTCAAATGAGATAGAGAAAACAGGCTACGGCATTTTAACTGAGTTATACCGTCGTCCAGGTGAAATAGACCCAGTCGTTTCGCGTTAGAGACCTTCATTCTTTTTCTGATCAATATGGACCCATGTCATAACGCAACCAGAGTGTGAGTTCCGATGCCCTTATTCGGCTTTGTTACCGTAATCTATGGATTACAAAAGTCACACTTTACGGTGAATAACGAATTTACTATAATCGCCGATATCTATCGTTATTTGAAGTGTTACATGCCATGTGTGTCCAGCTGCTCACCGTTATTTCCGACTGAGGTGCCCAACTTGTCTGCAAATCTGCGATAGTATCGTATTCGGCTGGTCACCTGTTTATCCTTCTCTCTCGATCCACCCTCCACCGCTCCACCTTCGAGGTCTCCGTTTATGGCCATGATGGTTCGCCCGAAACCCCAGTTGGAATGCGAACAAGTGCTGCGGTAGATATTGGTGTGCGCACATTTGTTTGAAGTGGGCTGTGTCATCCAAAACCATATAGCCGAAGCGAACCCCACCTCGCCGTCTTCAGACACTCTGTCTGGATCGTTCAGTAACGTTGATCGGTTGCCGTAGTAATGTTCACTGAATGCCCCGTAATTGAAATCCCAGGTCAGTTGTATGGGTCCCCGACCATAATACTTTCCGTACGGTTGTTCGCTTCGATTGACTTCTCTGATGTGATAGAAATTGCCGGTCTCGTGTGCACAATTGGCAAGGAAAGCGGCCAATTCACGCTTTCGTTCGTTTGTACCACCCACACGGAGAAATCCACTTTCTCTCTCCCTGGCGGCAGCTCTTCTAAAGTTGTCGTAGGAATAGTAGCTACCATCTCCAACAATATCTTCCCATTGTGATCGACTGAAGTGAAGTGATAATAAGAGCCAAGTGTATACGTGCTCAGTGAATGGCAATGTAAAGTCTGGAAGGAATGCGCTGTAGGCATGTGTCACAAAACTCACTAATGCATGTAATGCCTTAAAGTGCATGGTGGTGCGGGCATTAATGAAGCTCGCAGCGAAACAGTAGTTCACATGAGTATAAACGCTATGGCTCAACCAGTCAAACAGATCCAGAGAAATTTGTTGTCATATGTGAGCCAACCGCGATGATCATATTAACCTGAATGTGAATTTCTCTCCATCGATTTCATGAGGTGATGGTGCGCGCCGCGTACTCTAAACGAAAATTCATCTGCAACTTTAAGTACGTAACTGCTGCGGTAATCCCAGCCCAAGGATTTGAGTGACTTAGTGACCACGGAGTCAGCCGTTTATCGCAATGCTCCGTGTTCCACTGCCCGACCAGGCTACCTCTACCTGACGAATACTTACATGGATGAAATCAGTCTGGTGTTGTCACAGCTGAGAGGAACAGCACCAAAGCGCCTCCATCATAATCTTTGGTTGCGTCTTTTAGCTATCAAAATACAATGGGCTAGGGTCTTTAGGGCAAATAGCGTAATGCGTTGTCTTTTTAACGAAAAACCTAGGTACAGAAATCACCCAAACTGACAAAGCGTTTCATGGCTGATAAATTCTAAGGAGGGGTATTTTCTGCGGCATCAAAGTCAAACAGCAGCGCCGCTAGCTTCAACGGGTTACCTAACAGATTGCTGCTAAAGCTAAGTTTCATTAAGTGACGCTGAAGTTGACTGTAGTAATTCAGATTCCGGTGTCACTATGACGTCTCTATGAGAATGGAAACATTCCACCGTACAAAAACTGAAAACACTAAAATGCTGCAGACAATAACGTTCGACTTAGGTCTGAATTTCGATAAGGAAATTACGCTAGTCTAACCATGTGCTAGCATGCAAGTTAAGGAAATTGACTCAACTACACTGTTCCTATAGTTTAGGTACAATCGGTTGGATTTCTGGAGAATTTAGAAGAATATATTATGTGTTTATTTAGTAGAATAAGACCAAAACGCTGAAGTGCAATCCTCGTTTGCAATTGAGCCGGCGCATTTACCTAGCAGCGCTACGGATTGCTTGGAAATCGATCTGCTATTTGTGAAGGCAGCAGAGTCCAAACTATCGATGATTTTACAACAACTAAACCTGTTCAGTGTTGTCGTTCATAATTATAAAATATGGTTTTCCATATAGTATTATAAGCGGGTAACTATGTTCAGTTTCATGTCCCCTACGAGAGCGTCAAATGAACCCGTCACAGCATACCCAAACGCGACAATACAAACGATTCACGTATTAGCATTATCAACATAACGGCCGACTGAGTAGTTTGGGTAGAGTGTATGTTAAATTAGTCCTTACTGTTTGCAGACAACCAGCCTCTCAATTAGAACCATAAAATAATTACAGAAAGCCAGTAATTTGGCGTACAAATTATCAGCGAGATAGGCAAAGCAACAGAGAGAGTAACTGGGCATGTGGGGAGAGGATAACGCCAGAAGTGTTAAAACACCTCTATCGGTGGAACTCAGTCGCAAATACTCACCAGCAGTGCTTTCAACAGTAATTCCTACATACTTGTGTTCCAGTCTACGCGCTTAAAAATGACCTGTTACACATAATTCTTGTCATCATAAACATTCGCATCAATATAGCGTAAAACTATCGAAAACCGTCGCAATATAACATGAAATCAACCCGATCAATATTCTCTGCTTTGAACGATCGCATTTGCTTGATTACAACACAAGGGACAAATTGTCCACATGCGTTCGCTGCCCACGCCGCGAGTGCACAACAAAAAGCAACTACACAAATATTCTGTGCTTAACGGCAATGAGGCAGTAAGGATAGATGGCATGAATCAGTCTAAAAAGTACTATCTATACATCTTGACAGTAAGATCATAAATTAACAATGCACACGATGCCTCACCTGATGTATTGATCAACCATGATGTAAGCTGCTACGCATACTGCGCCAACCGCTTTATATGCATGCGCCGTACGAACTAAGCGTGTGGGCTGGTTGTGGTGAGTTCAGAATATCCACCGTTTTGTTGTCACATGTTTGTTTTAACGAGTCGCGACCAGACTGACCTCCGTGAATTCAGACAGTGGTAAAGTTGAAGTGAAGTATGCCGAGTTGCGAGGTCAACTGCCAACAATACATTCCTAACATGCGCTGCTTTTTCGATGGCAAACGAAAATAATAGCGAAGCTGGTATTACCAACAATATTAGTTGATTGTCTTATTGTAGCTGACGGAGCAGTGGGACGAAGAGGTCTGTGATGAAATGTTAACCAAAAATGCTTTTTCTTCACGGATCGTTGTAAACAAACGATACTTGTTTTGTTATGATAAATGCTGGTACATAAACGTAAATATAGCAACAAGGAAAGCGTCAGCACCTTCGGATGCCTGTCCAAACCAGGAGAGCAAAATATAGTGGCAGTTTGAAATCAAAGGATGTTGTTGGGAGGCTTGCATGAGCAATGGAGTAGGGTGGGTTGTGCTACATTTTCTGGAATTGACAGGCTTCAATTCAAGTTCATGCCAGTTTTGCTCCATGGACCCATGGTGGGTGAATATTCAGCTCAGACACACACGTCAAGGATAGGGATGAATAAGGAAGACGAATAGTTTATGAGGATATATATATATATATATATATAATGTAACAGCTGTGCGTCGTAAGGGCGCTTCTCTGCCGCGCGGTCACCACCAGTCGCGCGCGCGCGCTGAGTATACCGCGAGAACGCCAACCCCTACGCGGATTCGAACCGGTGACATTATGCTTGCAAACCGGGCGTGCGTACCGTTCGGCCACTGCTCGAGGAGGACAGATATAACAGCGGGATCGTTAAAAAATTTCATAGCCAATATCACTGGAATAACTTACTAACCAGTTTTGCATGAGTGAATTGCCATCGTTCAGGAAACGTGACTTTCAAGGAACTGCTTGTGTTCGATAAATCCTTGTAGCTCTGTCTGGTAGAGGAGGAGACGTCATGTGCAAGCGGTGGCTAACATCTGTGAGTGCATTAGGTGTAAGGTTGTTATATGAATTGATATGGCTGGCTTCAATGAAGTTAACAATTTCCAGTCTTGAACCGCCTCTACACCGGGATAGATGCGTCACTGCTCTGACCATTACTGAGGTCACGAGACCGGGTAAGATCACGGGATAACAATGGGTCCAGTGTAGTAACCCACATACGGATTTAGGGCATAACAAAGTTGCTTAGTTAATTACTGCACGTGCTAGATACTTATATGTTGGTCACAAATGACCTTGAGGCGAATATAAACCTCGTTACATCGATTTCGTAAGAAGCCAGTGAGCAGACTCGTTGTTTGCGTCTCGTCTTTATCCAATGAATACAGCTCATGGCACGTAGTGCAACTGGCGCGATGCATTGCTGGAGCGTATTTTAGTGCATAAAGTGTGCATGGGAATGACCCATGTTGACAGTGTTTCCCACGACAACCAAGCTAGGCATATGGCGCGGCCAGCTTCAACTGATGGACCAATAGGTAGTTGCTATAACAGTTGAGTTTCAGTAAATGTGTGGAGGACACCTTTTTCCAACATTCTACCTAACAACGCTTGTATTTCTTGCGGTATCTAATTAGTAATGAAAGAAGGACTCCAAGGCTTAATTAGAATACCCATTTGAAGCTGTGCCTGCGCATGATCCCAGCAGTGTTACATATCGCTGGAAATCGATCTGCTGGTTGTGAATGCGGCAGATCCCAAACTATCGATATTTTAACGGAACTACAAACGAGTGACCTTGAACGAGCAAACGTGCCAACTGTGCACTTGCGTACACCAGGATTTTTCGCTATTTATCAGCCGCATTCTGCCGCACACCACTAGATGCATACTTTTTCGTTTTGAATTTAAAAGCCCCACCTTGTTATACTATTTTCTCGAGGGCACTACCAGTACATCAAACATTTAGACAGAATTGTCAATTTCGGGCAGTGTTTCACCCACACCTACTCGCGAATAGCTGCACAACTACACATAAATCAATTTTAGTCTCACTTGATAGAGCACTCCAGAGGCGTTCGAACGAGCTCTCCCCTGTTCCAGTTTATCACTGTGGGAGCATCTACGGAATAATCTACGTATTCCTGTAACGAATCCCTATCAACCCTCCGGCAAGTCTGCTTTGCCTACTAGTTTCTTGACCGTCAGCGATCAATAGATCAAGTCCACACGTCGTTGCAGCACGAACATACAGCCGCACACTGCCAACAAGCATCACGGTCACAGCAGAGACGGGAACTGTGTAAATTGTTTCAACGTGACTGCTGATCACTGACCTTACAATCAAACCTCACAGTTATTGGATAGACAGACGTGGTCACCCAAATCCTTAGGGGACCAGAAAGACCAATCAGCACACAGAACGGTCAGTTTCTATCGCACTTTTACCAAGTTGATAAACTTCGGCTACTTTCTTAGTGTTCAGTTCCAGACTGCATACAATTGTCGACAATATAACTCGACTTTCAACCAGTTCTAACATTTGAAAATAGCACTGAAATGCCTGCTAGCTCTACTAAAGTGTGGAATGTTATAGTTAGGAAGGAGAACAAACAGGAATCACTGACAGTCTGCAGCGACAATGCTACAAAAATGAGAAGTGCCTCAGCTAAATTGACGCAAATCAAGAAGCATTAGCTGCCTGCTCTGACGATAAAGTTGTTTTATTACCTGAAATGCAAAACCGCATGGTTATTCTATGGGAATAAGTACATCAGGAAAAACCGAACTGCTGCGCTTTGGCGCGCAATACGGTCAAGTCTTGACTTTCTGCGAATTACCTACATGTTCGAAGTATGTGAGCTTAGATACACTACACAAGGTTGGCTCTATTCTATCCTTAATCACAACTGAGACCCAGGAATGTTTACACAGACCAAAGGAGGTTATTAACACACCTGACCCAATGAGCATAAAAAGAAATATTTTGCTCGCTGCATACAATCTGAGTTACTCTAACTTGTACCGTACTTAAATCGTATCGCTCACCCTCTATGCTTGCAGCGTCGAGTGGTAAACTATTGGTGCAGGTTGTCGGCGACACCAGTCGAGGTGAAATCCGTGTCGGAATTTAAAAACTCCTTGATACTCACTTTGTGGACTAAGGAACGCATTGCATCTGGATAAGATGTATTGCAGCTACGATACGCTGCAACCTCGCAGGAATCAGTGACGTGATTCCACGCATGTGCCCGCTCCACCTACGATGGGGCAACACAGATTCTGATCTTCTCACTCTATTCTCAGTATTCAGTATTCAGACCCCAGCAAATGGCGAAAATGAGATCATGCCCCATTCTCCTTAAATTCCCGCATGAGGCGAGGGCTGAACATTTTATATGTAGCAAACGGCTCATTGCATTACGAACCGACTTCAAGTACATCTTGATTAGGTGCGATCAAACGCCACTATAAAGGCGGTTTTTAGGTAAGGCGAATCATTCAGACGTTCGTACATCTCGCACCGTAGCCTATAGGTAACGAGCTGGTCTCGAAGTCTTGCGGCGCGGGTTCGGATCCGCGTAGGGGTCGGGCGTCTTCGCGGTATACTCTGCCGGCCAGCGACGGATGGTGGCCGCACGGAAAGTGAAGCGCCGTGCTGACACATTATTATTTATTTTATATCTCGCACCGACGCCATTCATACTGGCAACGATGTGGACCTTGACAGATAACCAACTCCGCCCCTAGCTTAAGATGCTCATAAGCACCCAATCCATCAACCCATCCATGAGGTGTTATTGCACCATAAGCCTGACCCGGTCTGGCCAGAAGATACTGGACATGGGTCTATCATAAGTACTATAAAAATCTCCACAGAAGTTAGTGCTATATCATATGCCCTTTCTGCTAGCAACGACCACGTAAATTATTTGGCATCAATTCAGCACCAAATTGCAGTCGGAAACTAAGACTATTGAAACTTCGATTGCACTATTCCTAAGTGAATATCACAACAACTATCCAACGTCCCAAATAAGCATAGCTGATATCGCATAAATACCCTCTCCCTACAATATACCACGTTAACGCCCAACAACGGATATCACCTAAGCAGCCTCCATGGTAATATAAAAAGACTCCTTAAATCAGAGAAGGAAAACTGTACACTGTTGCATCTCAACCTACGTAGTTGAAATCGAATTTGGGGTCCATATTAACTATTCGACCTACTACCAACCAATCACAAAAGATTTAGCCACCCACCTCTCCGAACCCACGGTGACAACCTCCCAACCGGAATAACGCAGCAACTCGTACCGGACTTGAAGATCCGTATGGTGGCATACGCCCACATTCCTCCACTACCTCCCAACGGCAACCTCAGTTTCTAGCCTACCCTCCATCGTCACTTCCCCCTGCTGAATATTCTCACTATTTACTAAGTGACCCTTTTTGGGCCGATAACCGCCCACAGCAATTGGGCTCTACAAACGACCATAAAAACCCAATGATGGTCCAATTGTTCCAGCATTTCCCTCGCTGGAGCCAGGACATTGTAACGCACGACAGAGCCCAGTTGTTTCACCACGGCACACCACCCACGTTCATGAGGACAACTGGTGTGATAAAACCAAATTGATATACCCTACCTCATTCCCTTTACTTAAATCCGCTATTATAAATATTCGTTCGCTATTACCAAAACTGGATAGACTTACAACGTTTATGTTCCTTAAAACTCCTCACATTGTTTATATCACCGAATCATGATGCACATCAACTATATGTGAATTGCAACTGGAAATTTTGGGTTATCAGTTGTTTCGGAAGCACGGTCTACACAAACGAGGTGGTGGCTTTGCCCTCTTCATACGTAATGGCATAACAGCCATCTCAGCTGACCAGTTTAGTGTTCATTGATTTGAAGTAATCATTATGTTTGGCTATTCCGGTCTATGATTTGCTAATGAACTGCATTCAGAGACCTCCGGATGCAACTA